GTCAATTTCTTCTTCATGTACCTTCCACAGTGTACACAAGAAAGGTGCAACCTGAGGGGACACGCATCATATGGCCCTACTGCGTTCACTGTCCCAGCACTTAATGAATTGTCTCACTCGATGGTCAGGCATTGCTGCTCTGCAGGTGGCCCCCTCCCACTCTCCTTGAGGGATAAGGGCTGCAAAGACGAAGTAAGTGACCCTTCAATGCCATCTCTAGTTTTAAAAATTCACTGCATCTATATTTATAATGATGCAGACAGTAAAGGAGGATGCTTTGAGTAAAAAGGTAATAAAGGTTGATGCTACTTAAAATAGTCAAGGTATTGGTTGAAAGCCAACTCTGGGCTCGCATCAGAAGGCAGGAGATGAATGCTATGACCAAAGACTGAAGTTCTCTGTAGAGTCCGCAGCACTCAACAGTGCTCTATTTTCCTGAGGAGATATAAGACAGCCACTACATAATCATCACATAATAATCCATGATTTATTATTATTATTTTTTTGAGACAAAGTCTTGTTCTGTTGCCCAGGCGGGAGTACAGTGGCATGATCACAGCTCATTGTAGCTTCGACCTCTTGGGCTCAAGCAATCCTCCCTCCTCAGCCTCCCCCGATAGCTGGAATCACACAGGCATGTGTCACCATACTTGACTAATCAAAAAAAATTTTTTGTGTGTAGAGATGGGGTCTCCGTATGTTGCCCAGGTTGGTCTCGAATTTCTGAGCTCAAGTGCTCCTCCCACTTTGGCCTACCAAAATGCTGGGATTATAGACATGAGCCACTGTGCCTGGCCTACTCATGTTCATTGATATGGGAAAGTAAATAAAGGTCTCAAAGTAGAGGAAGAAAAAAGAAGGAAGAAGAAGGAGGAAGGAAGAAAAAGAAGGAGAAAGAGAAGAAGGAAAGAAAGAAAGCAAGGAAGCTAGGAGGGAAGGAAGGAAGGAAGGAAGGAGGGAAGGAAGGAAGGAAGGAAGGAAGGAAGGAAGGAAGGAAGGAAGGAAGGAAGGAAGGAAGGAAGGAAGGAAATGACTGTGGCACCTCAGAATCTGTAATAGCAAGGAAAAGGGACTGTGTACAGAGGTGGACATGTGCTCCTGACTTTTGGTACTGCAAGTTTCAGAACCTTTCCAGAAATATCAGACTACTACTAAAAACCTGGAGGGGTTATTCAGGAAACAAGGTTTGCCTAGTGATAGAAATTATCTGTAGACAATCATGGATGATCATTTTTTCTGAAAAAGAAAAATGGCATTACCTAAGGAAATACAAATGTGCTTATATGAAATGGGAGCTCTCTGGAAAGCTTAAATGTAAGCTTTACGAGAAAGATGAATAAAAATAAAACCATGAATGAACCTAAAAATGTACCTATGAAAGGTATAGTTAACAGAAGCTCAAAATGCCAGAGGCAATAAAATAAAGTACTACTGGCTATATTCTAAGCAAGAAGAAAACGAAGGGGACAGAGTAACAGTTTGAGGGAAGGGAGTGTAATGTTCACAGATGAACAGTGAAAAAGGAGCCCAACTCAAGATGAAACTTGGCTTGCGTCTCATAATAAAGGATGTTGGGCCGGGCGCAGTGGTTCAAGCCTGTAATCCCAGCACTTTGGGAGGCTGAGGCAGGTAGATCACTTGAGCCCAGGAATTTGAGCCCAGCCTGGGCAATATGGTAAAACCTTATTTCTACCAAAAATACAAAAAAATTAGCCAGGCATGGTGGTATGCACCTGTGATCCCAGCTACTGGGGAGGCTAAGGTGGGAAAATCACTTGAGCCCAGGAGGTTGAAGCTGCACTCCAGCCTGGGTGACAGGGTGAGACCCGGTCTCAAAATTGGAAGAAAATGGGAGGGGAGGGTAAGAGAGGGGAGGGAAAGAGATCTCCATACTGGTCAGAGCAAACAAAGAAGATGGAGCTGGTCCCTGACGGGAAAAAGGGAGAGTAGGGACTTTGCCACTTTCACTGACTTCCAATATTCCCCTCAGATGACTGTCATCCCAGGGCACTGAAGAAACTGTTGGGTCCTTTCCCAGTGTCACATGGAAGCAGCATTCTTGTCCCACCATACACATACACAGTGTACATACTGCTTTCTTGAACAATATCTCTTCTGGGCTTCTCACCAATCTCATGGGCTATTACTATTACCTTCACTGTACACTGAAGCTCAGAATTTAAGTGACCTGCCCAAGGTCCATATAACCCCAGGGAGAACAAGACCAGATCTAGACCCAGGCCATCTGACTCGGGACCAGTGCTTTTTTCACTAACCACTGAACCTTTTTGCTACTTCTTCAACAGATCAACTTTTAAATCTCAAGCTATAAAATATTAACAAAAATCAATATTAAGTACATTTGTAGTAAGATGAATACTTGCTGGTTAAATACTTGTCGACCTGCCATAAGGATCTGGCTTTTCAGAAGTAAAATTTCATTTAATCTCCAGACCATCCCCAGGAAGGAGTTACAGATGAGGACCTGAGGCTTCCGGCCTTAAGTAACTTGCTTGGGCTTGACAGTGACTGACTGAAGCAGCAAAGGTTTAAATGTATTGGAATCTGTTCTTGCTCCAAATTCCCTATTCTTTCCACTACAACTGGCTGCTACCTTAAAGTGTTCACCAAAGGCTACTCTGAGATATAGACAGTATATGGTTAACCCAATTATAGCAATCAGAAAAGTCAATGGTTTTCCTGAGCCCTGAGAAGTCTGATGTTCCAAACACATTTTCATAGCATGTTCTACAGTCATGCTAACAAAAGCAAAGCCATTTCTCTCCTTTTTAGCCTAATTCTAATCTTGTGGGAAGAAATACTGAGGGCCTGAGCCTTGCAGTAGTTGTGGGAATAGCGGTAGGCAACCAAACAAATAAATAAATATCTGATTTTATTCTGATTCTTACAGGGGCTCAATGCCTACTATAAATCCCTGGGGCAAGCATATCTCCCTCTACTAAGGAATAGGACAGGAGGTCAGTAGGATGGAGGCAAAGGGAAGGCAGAGACATGGGGAAATGGAGACCTCCTCTAGACTTTATTATTTCCAGGATCTACTTCCTGTACAGTCACTAGTTCTGGCTTTAGAGGAGAACAAAGAAAGCTACTTCCATATAAATAAGAAGCCAAGGCTCTTCAGATTAAATTCATTGCCTAGGTTCACCAGTGATAGTCGCGATAGAGGTCTCAATGTAATGGAATCTGGTACACGACTCCCAAATGTACAGGCACAAGCATGTCTACCAGCAACAGCAGCAGAAGTTAAAAGAACCCTCAAGTAGCACCACGTGTTAATTCAACAAAGGTTTATCAAGCATCAATGACTAAATCGAGCAATGGGTAAATACTGGGGATCAGACAGAGAATGAGATAGCACCACGCCCATCTTTGTGGAGCTTACAGTTGTGTGGGGGATTACAGTTACAAAAGGGCATGCTCAGATTGCTATGGATACTTAAAAACCAGGAATGGAGTTGAATCTTTATTATGCCTTTGTATCTCCATGAATTTAAAGTGTTTCAAAATTCTAAATTATTTTATTCATTTTAATTAAAAACCAAACCACTACCACTTACTCTCAGGAAGCTCGGTGAAGTAGCAAATAGAATATTTATTCTAAGTCCTGGCTCTTGTACTTTTTGATCAGATACATGTCTTAACAAAACTATAATCCTGAACATGAAAAATCCATCACCAGTTAAAATTTTTACCTAAGAAACTTGCCTGCTACACAAAATGAGTCAAAGTTGACTGTAAAGGATATCATGTGAAACTTCATATGGAACAGATTTACTACTTTATTAATTCTCGTCCAGTGTGTGCCCCAAGAACATTCTTTACTAGAAGAATTAATAGTCACTGCACCGTTGCACAGGCAGGTGTTCAAGACTTGGTGCTATTCTCCTACATGCTCTTTTCATTTATTAATACAGGGTCCAGATTGGCTCTTACTGCCTTCCATACCCCTAAGCTTCCCGACAGTGGCAAAGCTGGGATTCAAGGAATTTAAACTCATGCCAATCTACAAAACCAATTAAGTACACCAACTGCCTAAAACTCTACTTCATGCCCCCTCTTTACATCAGAGGTAGCACTCTTAATGTCTCTAAAGGGCAGGCAGGTAACACCGATGAACAACATGGCCGGTAATGCATACGCATCTATGGTGTAAGCAGGAGAAACAGTGAGCTGAAGGGGAGACTGAAGGGAAAAGCAGCTATTTGATTCCAATGATTGCCACAATGTATGATCTTGCAGTTTTCTTTTCTTTTCTTTTTTTTTTTTTTTTAGACGGAGACTAGCTCTGTCGCCCAGGCTGGAGTGCTGTGGTTGGATCTCGGCTCACTGCAAGCTCTGCCTCCCGGGTTCATGCCATTCTCCTGCCTCAGCCTCCCGAGTAGCTGGGACTACAGGCGCCCACCACCACGCCCAGCTAATTTTTTTTTGTATTTTTAGTAGAGACAGGGTTTCACCCTGTTAGCCAGGATGATCTCAATCTCCTGACCTCGTGATCCACCCGCCTCAGCCTCCCAAAGTGCTGGGATTACAGGCGTGAGCCACCGGGCCCGGCCATCTGACAATTTTCAGACCAGAAGTTCAACATCTCATATATACTCCTGAATGTTTAAATGTTAATCTAAGTTTCTTTGTTGTTTGTTTTAAGAGCACTATGTAGGTCAAGCAGGTCACCAGCTCTCCACCTCTGCTAACGCACTGTCAGTGTCATCTTCTGAACAGCACTAGTTTGGTATGCTAAATTTTGCAAGATTATTTTCATAAGTGTAACATCACTCTGGGGATGGGTGAGGCAGAAGATTCCTTAATGCCTTAAACATCAGTGGTGCTCTCTTCTTCAGGCAGCCTAGATGGACTCATGGACTAATGCCATGCAAGGTAGAGCTGCTCACTTACAATCATAAGATGCCTTTCTTCCCAGGAAACCACAGAACAAACTTCTTTTCTCTCCCATAGCAGTTCCACCCTAAGTAGGTGCTTACCCGTTTGTCAATGTCATTGTGCTGAAGCTGCACAAAACGAGCACTGATGGCTGCAATGTAACTCTGCTGATTGGAGAATGCCACGCGGCCAGCACCTTTGGGGTACTTCAGCTCTGGGTCCGTATCAATGCCAGCATAGCAGACACCACCGTACAAACGGTCCATGATCATTGCCAGTTCAACTGCAAAAAACAAAACAAAACATGGATGTGTATAAATATTTGGGAGGTACTCCTGCCCAGGAGAAGGAAGAATTATTTAGAGATCATGCAATGTAATTAAGAAAAGGAAAACGCATGTTAAGTATCAAGAAGACTGTCCACACCAGTCTTACAACTCAAGTAGGGAAGGTCCTAATAGGGTGTTTTGTAATAAAATGGAAAAAAAATTAGGAATTTACACACATACACACAAGAATTTATATAATCAGAACTTTAGCAGTAGTATTGAAGAAATGAACTACCAGTAATCCTCCTGTTCTAATTTCTAACTGGTTAGTCCAGTGGAATGTGCCTTGGGTAGGCAAGGCATTTCATGCTGCCCTAACAAGTTAATAAGAAACAGTCCTACTTACTAACCTCTAAGACTAAAAGAAATTACTAGTGTTACACTACTATATTAGGACTAAGCTACAGAAAGGATTAACTGCTTGTTTTAACTAGAGACAATTTATTTACAGCCTTAAAGTAAATCTCCACAATTTAAAAAAGTAAAGATTTTAGAGTATATTCTAATCCAACTGTGAACTCTTCAGGCTAACCTCTCCCATTGAATTCTAAATAATAATACTAGTAATGATAATAGCCACAATAAACATTTACTGAGCACTTACAACCTACCACAGAGCACTAAGGTGCTACACAAATAGTAAAAACATACCCATGCTGTACCTTGCTATAGATCCAGAGGTGTGGCCTGTACTCCTTGTCACATTTCTTCTAAATATGCCTTTGTTTGTTTGTTTACTGAGACAGAGTCTCGCTCTGTCACCCAGGCTGGAGTGCAGTGGTGTGATCTTGGCTCACTACAACCTCCCCAGTTCAAGTGATTCTCCTGCCTCAGCCTCCCGAGTAGCTGGGATTACAGGCATGCACCACCACACTTGGCTAATTTTTGTAATTTTAGTAGAGATGGGGTTTCACCATGTTGGCCAGGCTGGTCTTGAACTCCTGACCTCAAGTGATCCACCAGTCTTGGCCTCCCAAAGTGGTGGGATTATAGGCGTGAGTCACCATGCCTGGCCTAAATATGCCTTTATATTGGTATAGTTACAAAACAATAAAGGTACCATTAGAAAAACATGTAGCACTTACCTGCATACCAGATTGTCTGAAGGCAATTGTTTACTTGATAGTGGACAGCACCTTCTCCAGGTATGACCATTCCTTTTAGGCTACTCACATAGTATAAATCCAAAAGACTCAGCACTACCCCTGGGAAGTGACCCAAGAACCTGTTTCAACACCTATATATGGTATTTGGAAAGGAGAAGACAGGGAAGACAGACAATGACCTGGGCCACAGCCAATGTGCAAAGATCATCACATAGTAGAGCTCCACAGCAATCAGTATCTGGGGAGATGGAGAGCAGCACAACTCTTCTCTTCTAGGAGAAGAGTTCTGCAGAATGTTCAAAGGGTGAAGGGCTGAACAGTAGAAGAACTCCACTAGATGTCTATGAACAAAAGGAAAGCCAAGCATTACTGGTTTCTGTACTACGAAACTGCTGAGGCAGTAAGTAAAACTGTGTTGCTACGTCAGAGAGGCTATCTTTACACTTCTCCAAAAGTTCTTTACATACCAGATTGCCTATTGGTGACTATTTTCTAACTGCCTATTTTTAATAGGAAGGACAACCCATAACCAACAAGTAATTTTCAGAAGGTGAGAAAATAAGCTAGTAAGAACTAAGCCTAAGAGTAAGCGCCATTAAAGACAGAGCAGCAGAAAGTTATCTCAATTATACCACTATGGTCAGAATTACTAAGCCATATCAGCCAAGGGAGCATTGTCTGTTAAAGCCAAGTAGCTGCTTACTGCAGTTTTGGGGCAGGATCCAGGAATCACATTCATTCAAACAATGTAACAGGAATTGTGCGCATACCCTGAATATCAGAGGTCCTTATACTTCATCCCAACAACCTCTGATGGTTTGAGGATCTCCTCATATGGCTATTACTGCAGTAACAGAGACCAAGAAACTGAAGGCAGAATTAATTGTTAATTGCAGTCATTAATGCATTTCCCTTATTGGTTGAATGGGTTTAGTGAAATAAGTAACCTCAAGACCCTATAACTTAAATACTAATTTTCAAAAGACAAGGCTTCCTCTGTAGTGAAATAAGAGAAGTAACAATCTCCAAGCCTGGTGAATGGCCAGGAAAAGAATGCTGGCAAGGAATTGAATGGCACTTGTCTTCCACCATAGGAAGGACTCAACAAAGTGTCTGATTTAGAAAGAAGGCACATGAGTGGTAAGCTTGAAACTCCAGCTAAGCAGAAGAGTTACTGTAACCACAGATTTTTCTACACCACAGTGTTCTCCAAAAAATCTTCAGGATCTTCTGATGCCAGAGAAGCACAAACATTCCATTACTTTGTGACTCTATCTGTTTGAAATCATCTGCACGTTCCAAGGATTAGATCATGACTGATGTTGCTGGCAGTTAAGTACTTTTGATAGGAAGCAGAAACCCTCATCTGCTTATGCTCTTATGAAAACTAATTATAAATAAATAATTTCCATTTATGAACTTATATATAGTTGCTTTTTTGGCCACCAAAAAGTCTGCAGACATTTGAGTCAATTAGGTCTCACTTAAGTGAAGGGCAATTTGTTGAGAAGCTAGAAGAAACCAAGGTGACTTAAGAAGAGGTTTTTGGGAGAAGAATATGAAAATTTCCCATCTCTCTCTCTACCCTCATCTGTATTTTAACTACAGAAAGTCTAATACTATGACTACCCTTGAAGAGAAGTAAACAGTAGTCAAACAGCTGCTGTTTGTACTTGGTCTTCTGCTCAACCAGTAAGTCTTCATTCAGCATACTTCCTGCAGGCTGAACTCATTTAAGTACTAAACAGAATTTCTAGTCCTCATTTGAAACCATCCTCTGCAGAGGGCAAAGACAAAGTAGTTCCCAGGAGCATGTTCTTAACATTTCACCTGAGGAAGATAAGGGTACCAGAGCAGGGCATAGAGGTGAAGGAATCCAGCGTTCACATAGAGGTGAAAACAGGTACACAGTCCACGAGGAAGTCAAGACTTTCCAAACCATTTTTTATTTTCTTTCCCATCCAGACAGTGCTCATGGGTCTGTCTGGTCATGGTGGGAAGATGGCAGGTCTAATAGCTATGGTTCAAGGGTATACCGTACTTTGGAAAAGATGCTCTGTGATCCTAAGACAACTTAAATTGTCTCATGAACAACTTCCATGGTAGCAGCAACACAATGAGTCTAATCCACATGCTGGCTCTTGTGATGAGAGTCACTGTGCTGCAGACTGGAGGAGCAAACTAGAATACTGCAGCAATGTGGAGCACATAGCATCCCCATGAATTCCTTTGGATTGTGATGACTATATCTCTGGAGTTGAATGTAAGCTTCAATTATGGTTCCTTGGATTTGCTCCTGATTCTTTTTTTTTTTTTTTTTTTTTTTTGAGATGGAATCTTGCTCTGTTGCCCAGGCTGGAGTGCAGTGACACAATCTCGGCTCACTGCAACCTCTACCTCCTGGGTTCAAGTGATTCTCCTGCCTCAGCCTCCCAAGTAGCTGGGATTATAGGTGTGCAGTCACCATGCCTGACTAATTTTTATATTTTTAGTAGAGATGGGGTTTTGCCATATTGGCCAGGCTGGTCTTGAACTCCTGACATCAGGTAATCCGTCTGCCTTGGCCTCCCAAAGTGCTGGGATTACAGGCGTGAGCCACCGCTCTTGGCCTGCTCCTGATTCTTTACAAAGATGTGAAAGGGTCTTTAGTTCACCAGAGAGAAAACCCATGATGACTCCTCCCAGTCCTGCTTCACCTCACGGCCCTATTTATATCATTTAATTATAATACATTTCAAAGCCAGCTAAGGCAACATGTGAGCCTGAGATACTGGACAGCCAAATGAGATAGAGTAGAAATGAGGATTCCAGAGGAAAATAACACATTCGTCTTTACAGATTCTAAACTGTGAATCTAGAATCCGTATTTCTTCTCTTTGGAAATAAGGACAAAACAGATAGGCAAGAGGCATAGGGCACCTTAAGATATCAAAGAGGTCTCGACTTCTGAAAGCAGGAAGATTAAACTTGATGAGGGCTTCCTAGGTTTACCACAGTTGTCAAGGGCAATTCACATACTTCAAGGGGAAGAAATGTGCTCATAAGCTTCTGCTCTGCATCAGATATGTCGGGAAGTTAAGAATATTTTCAAATAGATGGTATGAACAATGAACTAAATCAGACAGAGTGCACTGGTACCAAGTTGACTGTTACTACTGTTACTGAGACAACACCTCAGATCTCAGCTTAATAAAGCATCTTTCTTTTGACCTGAGAAAGACCAGTTACTCTATCTGAACTCTGCTTCATCATCTCTAAAGCACAGTCTACCACTTATAATCTCGCAGGGTTACTGTGAGAATTAAACATCCATGAGAGCTCTGGGCACACTGCTAAGGACAGAGTAGTATTCAAATGTTTAGTTTTGTCCAGGGTTCTTGGCCCACTCCCACCCTGTGAATCTCTGCTTAACATTTAAGTTGGCCTGGTTTCTGCTCTGTAAGTATCAATTCATCGCAGTGTTATTTTGGCTGTAGGCTAACATCACACAGCCTGCCACTGATATGGCAAAGTTTGACATCAGCTATGGATGAGGGTTTGCTTTTGGTGCAGAGGGAGGACACAAACACATACTAACATTAGAAGATCCTTATCCCTAAAGGTAATACAGTTAATCAAGTCAGTATGCCAAATCTGGAGTTTATCCAGGACAACCCATACTGAACTTAGGACATGGTGAAAAAGCTTCTACTGTTGAAAAACTTGATACAAGATGGTTTCTGCCTGCAACCACTTCATAAAACAACAATAAAGGATAGGGTTATAATACTCCTGTTTCCTAAATCACAAATCAGGATATGGTTTCTAATACATGTGAACTATGAAATGTTTATACAAAATGTCTGAAATAAATGATCTTAGAAAAATTCAGGATATATGTTCTCTAGATATATGCCATATATCTCTGAATATTTACTTCAGAAATTTTTGCCTCCCACAGAAAAACCATCCTCACAACAGTCAGGGCAGGTAAGGAAAGACAGAAATAAATTTCAGGATTCATCACAGAATATTAGTAGGGGAGAAAAAGAAAGGAAAGAATTATCAGAGCAATTGTTAGGAAAGATAGGGCTGAAAGATGAACGAGCAAACAGTAGGCTGTGGGGACTCAGATGAGCACTCTCTCGAGATCAATCTGTTTTGCAGGGCCTAAGGAAGTCATGAAGTAAGGAACAGTTCATATGCTTCTAATGAGAAAGACTGAAAGTTTTTCCAGCCTGATGAAGGTTGGGAATGAATGGATCCAAAAGCTTGGTCACTGAGGCAGTCTTCCAATCAGATGCCAAAACCAAGAAATTTGGGATCAGAGAAATACTCATGTTAATCAACTGGGGAAGAGTACACAGACCACATACCTCACTCTCTACTTGTTCCTGGTGGTATCATAACCCCCAAGCCTGGCACTTATTTTCTGTCAGAGTGAAGAGGTATGTATTCTGGAGAGGTCCTAATGCCATAGGGATATGCAACTGGGCTATTTCTGTATGGAGATTCAGGAAGACATGTTGCTCATATTACATGAATGAAGCATAGTGGCAACATGTTGTACTTCCAGGTGGCAGCAGGAGAAGAATCAAATTGCCCATTTCCCTGTACTGACTCTGAAGAATATGTGAGCTTTAGCCACATGGTGGCATGGTGAGTCCACTTACAGGCTTTCCTAATGTGAGGGTAGGGTGAGATGGGGAGTAGAAAGAAGACAAGATCTGATAAACACCAGGAGACTTCAGGCAAACCATCCTTGGCTTGCTATTGTCACCAATGGGAGTGATGAAAGGAAGAGACAGTAAGAGTGTGGATTATTTGACATAGAGAAACCCACAATCAGGCAATAAGTAAGCTCATCTAAATTTTCCACTGATATTTTCCCATTTTCAGCTTTTCTTTTGTTTTCCTTTCCAGGACTGTGATTTTTTCCAACCTATTTTTTTTTCTTTTTTTGAGATAAGGTCTTACTGTCACCCAGGCTGGAGTGTACTGATGCAATATCAGCTCACTGCAGCCCCGAGCTCCCTGGGCTCAAGCGATTCTCCTGCCTCCGGAGACTGGGCTACAGGCGTGTGCCACCATGCCTGGCTAATTTTTGTATTTATTATAGAGACAGGGTTTCCCCATGTCGCCCAGGCTGGTCCAACCTCAGTTCTTAAAAGGAAGGTTTATCAAAGAACCAGAAACTCAGGACAATACTGCTTAAAACAGGTTGCCTTTTTATTTTAGAGGTGTTTGTGTATTTCTGTTTAAAGGGATAAGGCCGGTATTCAGAATAACTATCAGTGATATTGGTCCTTGTGTTACAATGAGGAAATATCAAAGATAAATAAAAAAAAAAAACAAACCAACTCACAAGATCCAAAGGAATAACACTTCAGTGATAACATTTTAGTCACTGTGACATATTAAGGGATACTTTTTGGCCCTTAATAAGGTAAAAATCCACCTGGACATCTAAAATCTCACCTGTTGAGTAGGGATGCCCATATCTAGTCCATGATCACTCTGCATAAAATGCTTAAAATATTTTTAGACTTTCCAAAATTCCATAACTAGAACATTCCTTGGAAATAATAAAAAATGCTCTAAAGTATTTCAAAACCAAATTTGAGAATCGTGTTAAAGAATACAATCTGGTCTCCAATTAATTCTGAGTTCACATTCTGTAAGTACATTTATTTTCTTCTGACATTTTTTGACTCTGTGTATGATGACCTCTTTAACATGATAGTGGGATATTCAGTTTTGCATGACACATACTTTCTTAGTGCCAGTAATACAGTAGATGCTCAATAAATGTTTATCGTTCAAGTGAACTATACTGTATTCAATTTCAGCTTGTCTAGCAAAGTCACAATGAATTCTTTAAAAATCGTCTTCTATTCCAAGGTATACATCAGTTCCCAAAGCTCAGTGTGTTTCAAAGAAACCCAGTTCCTATGATTATAGATAAAAGTTGCAGATGTTAACTTTTTGTCTTGATAACATGGCCCTCTAAACTAGAAGTCTTGGGATGAATGGTAAAATTCTAAGACAATAATATAGATTACTTTGCCACCTAGAAACTAGCTACGCTTAAGGGAAGTGTTGGCATGGGGGAACACTATCAATAATACAAATGATTTTAGATTACTATCCACATAACTATAAAAACAAAACACTTTAAAACAAAACATTTTAGCGTAGTTGAAAAAAGAGAACTTCTCCCGGGCACAGTGGCTCGCACCTATAATCCCAGCACTTTGGGAGGCCAAGGCGGGCAGATCACGAGGTCAGGAGTTTGAGAGCAGCCTGGCCAACATGGTGAAACACTGTCTCTACCAAAAATACAAAACAGCCGGGCATGATGGTGAACGCCTGTAGTCCCAACTACTCCTGAGGCTGAGGCAGGAGAATCGCCCAAACCCGGGAGGTGGAGGTTGCGGTGAGCCGAGATCGTGCCACTGCACTCCAGCCAGGGTGGCAGAGTGAGACTCATCTCAAAAAAAAAAAAAAAGGAACTTCAAATTATGAAAGGTATAGTATAGTATCTAGTCAGGGAACACAAAATCCCATTTCCTACTAGACAACTAAATATAATTCTTGTCTAATCCTAGAATTTGTGGCATCTTGCAGACAACAAATATTAAAGAATATAATTTCAGGTTCAGGGGTTCACTTCTTGCAGTGTTGGTGTGATCATACAGCAAGTGTAGAAAAGGGATCTTCACAGGATTTACAGAAGAAAAATGATATATAGGCCCTTACCTATCCTTCCAAATCATTAAAACATGAAGAATAAAGAGTGAATAATACAAATTGAAGTTTAAACTTCAATTTGTGTAAACTTCTATGTCTGTGCCTTAAGATAGACATAAGAAGTTACAGCCAGTTCTGTTAGGACTTTTTCAGAATATTTTTTCAGATTCCTATCTAGGAAAAAAAAGGAAAGGGGCTAGAACATAAAAACTCATTTGTGGCCGGACGTGGCGGCTCACGCCTGTAATCCCAGCCACTTTAGGAGGCTGAGGTGGGCGGATCACCTGAGGTCAGGAGATCGAGACCAGCCTGACCAACGTGGCAGAACCTTGTCTCTACTAGAAATACAAAAATTAGCCAGGCGTGGTGGCACACACCTGTAGTCCCAACTACTTGGGAGACTGAAGTTGGAGAAACCCTTGAACCCGGGAGGCGGAGGTTGCAGTGAGCCGAGATGGCACCACTGCACTCCAGTCTGGGCGACAGAGTGAGACTCCGTCTCAAACAAACAAACAAACAAAAAAACTAATTTGTGCTTGTAGTTAGTTGCAAAAGGAAAAGCTACAATACTAGCTATGATTGTCCATTTGTAAAATAAGAAAAAGGATTTCTGTCCCTCTCCACTCCTAAATATAACACTAGTTAGAAAAATTCAGAAATATTCCACAACACCCCCATCATTTTTTTTAAAAGCACAGTTTACAAACAAAGGTCTGCATTTGCCCCCATCTCATAATGCTTTTCACATTTGAATTAGCCCTTCTTAGACTTTCTTCTCCGACTGCAGATAAAAGGGAAGCATCTCTGCTGCTTTGCTTTCTACCTTTTGTTTGATAGTTTTCCATTGGAATGAAGAAAATAAGACCCAGTCAGAAAAAATATGTTTAAAAGTCCTTCAAAATGAAATTATTAATGTCTTTATGTAGGTTTAAAGTTATCTTTTAGGTGTAGGCTGGAGATGGGATTTGGATAAATATGTTAGAAATGTTGAGGAACTTTCAGAATTAAGAAGTCACGAAAGTCATACAGCTAAATAACGTTAGGTTACATTTTATAATTCTGTTTCACAACATGATTTTAATGATCTCTGCTTTTTGTTTTAATTTTTAGGTAGAACTAAGTCTATATGCATATAAATAACACAAAAGAAATGTACTTTCACAACTACAGTGGCAACAGTAACATTTTTTGTTTTAGTTTAAAAAATAAACTTAATTATTCTAAGTGCTTCAAAAACTTAGATCTTAGAAATAATTTTGTTATACCTCACTGGCATTAATACTGGTTATTAGGAGGCTGATGCACAGCTGATTGGATTTGTCTTTGGATTTAAATATGTATTGAAGCCATCAGTTCAACAACACTTCAAACTCTCCAGTCAATTATGATTCTGCTCAAATCAAGCAGCACAATTATTTCATCATTGGAAAGTAACTTAAAAAAAAAACAACGGAAGCTTTAAAAAAGACAGATTTCTGTCATACATAACAATGCTGACTGGCATAAGAATGCACACTGCCAAATGTGTTATTATTTTTTACATAAGGGATTAAATAGGAAAGCACTAAATAAAATTCATTTTTTCAACATAACTGTTTAATGAAATTCACTTTTGCACCATAACAAAATAGAGCATTTTGGGAGAAAACCTTTAATCCTGAAAAAGCTCAGTGAAAACGACGACAGCCTTCTTTTTGGAGACTATGTATAGCTCACTGGAAACCTAGAAAATATTTAAGACTAAAGGCATTGGGGATTTTGTTGTTGTTGGTTTTGTTGTTGTGGTGTTACTATTTCCACTCACCAGCTCGAAGGGGTCGTGGAACTCCCCCAACAAAGATAGTTTTTCTGGGGTCCAAAGGCTGAGAACCATCCATTACAAAGTCACTGTCACTTAGGTTCCATGGTCGAATTTGCACCTGAAAAAAAGTCGTTTACTTGGTCCTTACTTCATTTCCAGCAACCCCAAATGAGAATAAGATGACTAAAGACAAACCCACTGATTTGTGCATTTCACAATGAACATGACCCAAACAAAATCCAGTTAATTAGTTAATGTAATCCGCATTAAGTACCTTTCAATAGAACTCTTGGGGAATCTACTTACAGGTACTGTACTCAGCACTCTAGACATATGACATGGTTTCATACCATGAAACCACTGGAAACCACCTCTGCCTGTGTTTTTTTTTATTGTAAGGCAGGCTTTTAGAGACAGAGTCTGCATTTTGAATCAGATTCATTTTAACATACGATAGAGACTGTTTACAATGTGTCACAATACACCACTTTGTTTTAAGAGTTCATCTAAAGTACATCAGGAGTATTTTCTAAAAATTATCCATGTCTGACTTTTTAATTCTCATCACCTTCCAAAATTAAAACATATCTTTCAGCAATATGATTTAATACAGATTAACACGCAGCAAGTTAGCATAGAATTACCAGAGATAACAATATAGCACAAAGAGAGTACTCTCTGGCCAGGCACGGTGGCTCACAACTGTAATCCCAGCACCTTGGAAGGCCGAGGCAGGCGGATTCCTTAAGGTCAGGAGTTCGAGATCAGCCTGGCCAACATGGTGAAACTCTGTCTCTACTGAAAATACAAAAACTAGCTGGGTGTAGTGGCTCACATCTATAGTCCCAGCTACTCAGGAGGCTGAGGCATGAGAATCACTTGAACCCAGCAGGTAGAGGTTGCAGTGAGCCGAGATCGCGCCACTGCACTGCAGCCTGGGTGACAGAGCGAGACTGCCTCCGGAAAAAAAAAAAAAAGAGAGAGAGAGAGAGAGTTATCTCTTTCGGATTTATCTGATTTTGACAAACGAGGCTGGTTAAATAAAAGCAAGCCTCAAAGTTTAAGTAAATTTTGTTTAAAGTAGAAAAAGAAATCTTTATGGCATATTTCTATTTGGTCATTTTTCTTAACTGGGACTCTGACTTAGTGCCCATAGTTTGTACTATTTTATCACAGAGTAAAAAATAAGGTATTTCATTAGAATTTTAACCTTAAAACATGAGCCTTTATGTATATGATTTTATACATGAAACCTTAAAACATGTTATCAAAGAATAGCTTAAAACAAAACAAAAACACAAAAACATCCTCCTGCATGAGAAGGCAAATTCTGCACTGCCTCAAAACCAACCAGTTAGGCAAGTAGCCAATATGCTCTGAGAAGCGGGCTGGGTGCAGAAAGGGAACCTGGTATCTGTCCTCAAGGAACATGCCATTCCCCCTCCCCTCCACCAATGACTAAGATAGAAAACAAAAAGGTTGACTTTTCATTTCCTTAGTATTAATGGAATTGTTCATTTTCCCCCTTGCTCAGACATCAACACTCAATGCAAGGAAACATATGGGATAATTTCGTATGTGGCTTGGCTTATACCCAGGAGTACTCCCACTTGAAAGGTAGCACCTGTGGCAATTATACTTTCAAAAATTTTGAATTAACTTTAAAACTGGAATTGCTCAGTTAGAAATAGTCTACATTTTTTTTTTTTTTTTTTTTTGGAGATGGAGTTTCTCCTTTTTGCCCAGGCTGGAGTAAAGTGGCACCGTCTTGGCTCATGCAACCTCCAACCCCTGGGTTCAAGAGAATTCTCCTGCCTTGGCCTCCCAAGTAGCTGGGATTACAGGTGACCGCGACCACACCCAGCTAATTTTTGTATTTTTAGTAGAGACAAAGTTTCACCATGTTGGCCAGCTGGTCTCAAACTCTTGACCTCAGGGGATCTACCCGCTTCGGCCTCCCAAAGTGTTAGGATTACAGGCATGAGCCACCGTGCCTGGCCAGTCTACACATTCTTTAAGATTGCTAAAAAAATTCACCCTCACCTAACTTTTTGCCTTTATTATTATTATTTGAGACAAGAGTGTTGCCTTATTGCCCAGGCTGGAGTGCAGTGGCATGATCTCGGCTCACTGCAACCTCTGTCTCCTGGGTTCAAATGATTCTCGTGACTCAGCCTCCTGAGTAGTTGGAATTATAGGCACCTGCCACCACACCTGGGTAATTCTTATATTTTTAGCAGAGACAGGGTTTCGCCATGTTGGCCAGGGTGGTCTCAAACTCCTGACCTCAAGAGATCTGCCCACCTCGGCCTCTCAAAGGGCTGGGATAACTGGAGCGAGCCACTGAGCCCAGCCACTTTTTGCCTTTTATGACACTGTTGGCCTCACCACTTAGCCAGAAGACACAAAATCTCCATTTCTTCCCTAGACCCTGAAAATTTGGACCTGTTTACAATACCGTTCACATTCAGACATTTGCTCTACCTTTATTGCATGAAAAAAAATGCAGTTCTTTCCGTGTAAACTTTGGTCTGTTTGACTAAATTATCATTCCCTTGACATTTACTACAAAGGCAGATTCACTAATACCATAAAGCATTACTTTTAAATGCCTTCATGAGGACCTATTGCCTATTACTAATTTTTTCATTTAATACACAATAATTTCCTGACACTGTGAGAACAAACAGTAAAGATTCCCTTAAATACACACACACACACACACACACACACACACACACACACACACACACAGATGTATCTTTTTCTACACACAATCTCTCTTCTGATCTCATTCCTAATAAAGCAGTTAAGGCAGCTTAGGGACCTGGTAAGGTAATTCCAATCACTTTATGTTAATTGCATTCGATCATAGATAACTTTATTTAAAAAATGAAAACTATTCTTGTGTAGTATCCAGTGGTCTGCTTTCATGCTCAATTAACTGAGACAGGAAATACAGCCTTTTATCAATATCTGTAGGTTACCACTGCTCAAAAGAACTCTGCAAAAGATCTCAAACCTTCCTGCTGAGAGCTTTCATTATTGCCTACTGCCTTTTCTGCCCACTCCCCAACCCCCGACCTCACTTCATCACATTGCACACAACCCATTCCTTTATTCTTGGCATTGTAGATAAAGTAAAAATATAGGAAGAGGGCTCAAGACACAGTGCTGATTAACCCTATTCACAAAACCTACATTTCCCAGCTGCCACCAGAAAACAGTTGCTCAGAGCTGTCACCTCTGCAGAATTAATCAACATAGAACAATATCAACACACTCTATCTACTAAGCAAATAATAATATTGTGGTACTATCCGTATGAAAAGTTACACTCACACTCTGGTTTCTCTCTGAAATCTAAGCCCATTCTCACATCAGGCCTGTTTCTCCAGACCTCAGGTCCTGATATCCGTGTTCTATCCTTCTGGACTTACTCTTTGTTTGGATATATTTTCTGGTCCTGATTTTGTGTGTGTGTGTGTGTATGTGCATATATATATATATATATGTGTGTGTGTGTGTGTGTATATATATATGTGTGTGTGTGTATATATATATATATACTTCATTGTTATATCATACTTTATAAGCTAATTCAAATATTTTGTGGAGAGTATAAATAAAATAACCACTTTTTAATTATCTTCGTTTAATAATTATTTTTGAGAATAGATGAAATTATAATTCTGTCCTAATTCAATATAAATTTCCTCTTTCTATACAAAACTGGTCCTCCATATCTGAGGGTTCTGAGTCTGCAACGAGGGTCAGCCAATCTCAAATAGAAAACTTTTTTTTTTTTTTTTTTTGGAGATGGAGTCTCGTTCTGTCACCCAGGCTGGAGTGCAGTGGCACAATCTCAGCCCACTGAAACCTCCACCTCACAGGTTCAAGCAATTCCCCTGCCTCAGCCTCCTGAGTTGCTAGGGCGTGTCACCATACCCGGCTGATTTTTTTTTTTTAGTAGAGATGGGGTTTCATCATGTTGGCCAGGCTGGTCTCAAACTCTTGATCTCAGGTATCTACCTGCCTCGGCCTCCCAGAGTGCTGGGATTACAGGTGTGAGCCACTATGTCCGGCCTAGAATATGTTTTAAAACAAAAATAACAGTAACAATAATACAAATTTTAAAACTACAGTAGAACGACTATTTATATAGCATTTACATTGTATTAGGTATTATAAGTAATCTAGAGACAATTCAAAGTGTATGGGAGGATGCACATAGGTTACACTATTTTATGTAAGGGACTTGAGCATCTGTGGATTTTGGTATCTGAGCGGGGGTCCTAGAACCAATCTCTTATGCAAACTTAGGAACAACTGTACAGGGCTAACTCTGTGAGTGTGTGTGACAAAGAAGGTGTGTGAGTGAAACAACTCTTCCAGTATGCTGTCAAGTAGGCGCTTTAGGGGCAGTAAAAGCCTCAGCATCCTGAGGACAAGTATAAGGATGTCCCCCAGAAACAGTAAAGATTCCCTTAAATTATCCTAACATGATTCCAGCACTTCTTCCTGGAGCAGCCTGATCACATTTGCTTGTAAAGGTGACTCTAAAAAGAGTTTGCTGGCCAGGTGCAGTGGCTCATTTCTGTAATCCCGGCACTTTGGGAGACCGAGCTGGGCGGATCATTTGAAGTCAGGAGTTCGACAACAGCCTGGCCAACATGGTGAAACCCCGTCTCTACTAAAAATACAAAAATTGGCTGGGTGTGGTGGCGGGCACCGGTAATCCCAGCTACTCAGGAAGCTGAGGCAGGAGAACCACTTGAACCTGGGAGGCAGAGGTTGCAGTGAGCCAAGATTGCACCACCGCACTCCAGCCTGGGTGATTAGAGTGAGACCCTGTCTCAAAATAAAATAAAAATAAAAATATAAAAAGAGGGGCTACAGTATCCTTTGGGAAGCTCCAGCTCTTGGGCCATGCCATGTCCTTACAGTAGGGGGTCACACAAACTCAAATGGCCATAGGGTCAGACAGGTAGCACAAATGTCAAGCCACGTTTGGGTTAGTACGCAGGCAGTAACACACTGGAGTAAACTACTTCTCAGCTCCAGCAAGTAGTTACCACTTGCCTATGTATTGTCAGACTTCTCTCATTTTTCAAGAGT